TTTTGTAACCATCCAGCCAATGTCAGCTTCCCCGACATCCCAATTGTACACTTAGGGCTCACTGTCCTTTAAATTAGGATTATAATAAATAAAAAGCTCACTATGTAACGTCATGTCATTTCCCTTTCTTTGGTGTAAGCTCCACGAGAGCAGCAACTATCTGCTATTTAGCCCACTCCAATACCCTAATACAAGGCTTTGTATATGGTTGAAACTTGGTACATCTCTACTGAACTAATTAATTAAGTGAAGTCTCTTTTTTGCCATACTTCTCCAGACTTTTCTAGAATGATACAGATCAACAGGTGATTTTATATGTTCAAAAAAATAAGAATTTACATCATTTCTTGGAATTCACAACTGACACATGACTTAAACCTATAACTCAAAGAATCTAAAAGAATCATGTTGCTACTTCAGTAGAAGTTAAGAAAGAAAGAAAGTTCCATTGTGCTATTTATCAGTGCCTGTCATCAAAATGCTTGGCTTTTTGGTTTCCAAATGAATCATTATTCACTTATCAACGGTGATGAATGGTGCCTTCATAAGAAAGCATATTACAGTTTGAAATCACCTTCATGGCGATCAAAATGTATGTTCTTAGGCAACCATCAAAAGCAGGTGACTAACAAATGAATATTCCTGTGGTCTGGATTTTAAAGGAAAGGTTAAATGTACATTTCTTGTTTTTTAAAAATTTTCTATACCTCAGATTTGACTAGTAACTTCCAGATGAGGCACCCCATGACAGCAGAGTGTGAGTTAGAGGGCTAGAAAGGTGTTTAAATAGAGTGAGACAGCAGATGATGTAATGATCTGAAAGCAGGTCAAATCGAAACTTATTTCTGCCAGCCTGGCATGGCAACCGGAACCCCTTACATGGGTTTTTAGTTGTCCCTGTTGTGTCAACCTTAAATAAAATGCAAGGTGCCTATTTTATCTAGCTTCACTTCTTTCTCGAACCACTTACTACTGTGAATAATGTCTAAAATGCAAGTATTTAGAAGCAGTCAATTTAAAACAACACATTTGGGCTGCTAATCATCTGCTGTTAGAATCTGTGATTTGTAAAGGAATGGCGAACATAAGAATGGCTTGCGATGCTGTGCCTAAGTGATGCTTCGTTTCAGTTCTCAGTGCTTCATTATTGCCTTAAAATCAAATAGAGTCTGATGGATGCCCCACAAAACAACACCAGGTATTATAGTTAATGCCTCTGCCATTGTCATAAATTACGTTTAGCCAAGTCTTCACCGACTAAGTGATAGTCCTGGCTTCAGAAAGAAAGGGGAAATGCCACCGCTGAGTTCTCAGAAGCGATATCCCTTCTCCAGGTAACTCTTCCCTGAAGTTTTGATTTAAGACTGAGGATTTCCAAAATGTGACTCACAAAGCTCAGTGTCCCATGCCCCCACACTGATGTCATCCAGTTCTAATATTAGCAGCAGAGCAGCTCAGGTTCACCTGGGAAAGAGGAGCCTTTATTTTGAGTTAAACAGGAACAGATACTAAAAATGAACACGCTGAGGCTTCCTTCTGGTCTATCTGACACGAATAAAATAGTTAACCCCATGCACTGAAACTAGTATTTTGAATCAAATGAGAACGGAATTCAATCTGGCTGGAAATTTGATGTGCATTTTTATGCAGACTCAATTGTGCAAATGCTGAGGAATTAAGAAATAAAATAAAAACCTATAAAGCTATTTGTTGTGCAGTGTCACACCAAGATCATCAAGTGTTCACAAAAATTCCATATGGATGAGATAATGAAGGTCCCCGGGCATCTGTTATAGCCCAGCATGATGTGTAAACTTGGCCATTATGGCCACACAAACTTGACCACACAAACAAGCTTTGGGATGATATACGTTGTACTCATTAGCTCAAATGCATCCAGTATGTGCATCCTATTGTCCAGCAGAGCTTAAGTAGATCAGCATAGTTGGACAATTGCCACATCTCCAGTTAGTACTGCACAGACCTAAACCCAGGCAGGAGGATACAGATGCGCCATTTGGAATTGTGGAAATTGTGTTGGAATTCCATGCCATGAATTGGAGGGAGCTAATTCCTCCTACCCTATCCATCTTCAGAGTGAGAGGCATCGTCATGTGTTGAGAGTGCTTTATGAGATAAGAGTCTCACAAAAATACGCAGCCCTGGACAAACTCGGGGAAATGGACTAAGAGGTATGGCTTGTACACAGAAAATGCCTTTCATTTTAAAAACAACCACTGAACATGGTAACCATTCCCTCTAGAGCAGTGGTTCTCAACCTTCTGGCCCTTTAAATACAGTTCCTCATGTTGTGACCCAACCATAAAATTATTTTCATTGCTACTTCATAACTGTAATATTGCTACTGTTGTGAATCATAATGTAAATATCTGATATGCAGGATGGTCTTAGGCGACTCCTGTGAAAGGGTCGTTCGGCCACCAAAGGGGTCACAACCCACAGGTTGAGAACCGCTGCTCTAGAGGGTGAAGATATTTTTAAAAAGAGTTAAAGGAAATAAAAACATCGTGGCTCAGTGCAGAACCTATCACCACCACACCTGAACTTTTCTTACGGTGCAAAATCTGCTAAGACTTTCATTCCAGAAAAGCTGGCCTGGGCGTTTAAGCAGCAGTGGCAAAAATGGGCCACGTTTAGTACTTGCTACTTTGCAGTTTGTTTTTGCTGACGATTCTCAACTTTCTCAATTTGGTCCTCCAACCCCATAGCAGAGTATCATTATCTTCCTAAGTCACTGTCATAGGGCAGGTCTCCCCACCTTCCGTGCCCAGTGACATAACCTTGCCCTATTTGAGTTTGTGATAAAAATGTCGTGCTCTGCATATTTTTCTGTACCACGTCCCTCCTTCCTGTTGTTCTCAGAATCATTGAATGATCTTAAAACAAAATAAAAATCCTTACCTAGATTCCCCCCCACACACATTACGTGCACATAGGTATGCAAATACAAGCCTGAGACAGTAGTCTCCTTCCCATGTACCCCCAAAGACCCTGGGCCTGCTTTCTCCCTGTATCCCCATGACCTGGACATTATCTGGAATGTGCCCACCTCTCCATGAATCTTTGCTGACTCATCAGTGTTAAATAAGTCTGCCTGGAAGACTCTTAACCACATTTATGTATATGCTTTTGTTGTCTTTTTTTATTCTCCCCACTATATAGCTTTTGCTCTTAATTCCCATTCTTAAAATCAGTAGACTTTTAGGCTAAAAGAAAGATCTTCTGGTTGCACAGCCTGTAGTTTTCTGAGAAACTACTAAAAGAATAATATTTTTTTGATGTACAAGTGTAATTTAAAAATAAATAAAATAGATAAAATAACAATTTCTTATACAAATTATTTTCATGGAGAGGTCTGATTATTTTTCTCTTAGTACAGTAATTCAAAATACTTTTCACACCCCCCTTTATGCAAGAATTTCCTTCCAGGTGGACATATCCAGTTTGTACTGGAAAATTCAGCACTATGTCTGTGAAGGGTGAGCAGAGGCAGAAAGCACCAAAACCAATTGTGGCTTGCTGTTGTTTACTGTACAACACTTTAGCAGATGTTGTCATGTCACAGGCCCATAACGGTGATGCTGGATGAATGACAGTCTTAATATCCCATTCTGCTAATGAAGAACTTAAACCCCGTAGGAAGGAAGTGACTTTTCCAAGATTATGTAGCTAGATGGGGAAATGGAATAGAAACCAGGGTCTTTCAACTCTGCAATACAATGCACTTTGGACTCTGCTATCAAATTAAATGTGTTGCTTAGGTGATTTTATAAACAATAATAACAAGTAGTGGGGAAAAAGTGATGCAAAAATGAGAGCACAAAGTACTAACTCTGATCCAGGGAGGACCTGGAGGAGCTGAGCGGTGCTGCCGTTGGATAAGTTTGTGGGTGCTGTTTTGTTTGGGGTGGGGAGGGAACGTGTTCTCATAAGGGCATCTGATCAGAATATAAGGGATGTGGGTACTTGAAATATCAGGGGCATCACTTTGTAAATTATATGATTGTCTAAACACTATGTTGTATACCTGAAACTGATAACAAAATAATACTGAATATAAACTGTAATTGGAAAATGAAATTTAAGCAACAAAAAGGAATGCAATTTTCTGCCAAGTTTCAATTATTTAAGCCTCACCTCCTCACATTGGACCCCTACAAAATTCTATGAGGCATCCTCTCTCTCTCTGAGAATTTGATTTCTGCTCTGACAGCAGTTAGATGATGGGTTCTGTCTGGAACTCCATGGACACACCTTCCAGTAAAGACTAGAGTCCCTGCTTGGAGAGTGGAAATATATTTCCTTTCCATGGTACATTTTCAGGGTTGAAAAGCAAAGGTGTTAATGAGGGGGGGGGGGAAATAACAATTTAAAAAGGACTGTCTTGCCTTCTTGTACCAATTTTATGTAGCACTTTATTAAAAAATAATATAATTTAGTTTAAGTAGCCTGAAGGATTTTGTATTTGTTCTTTTAATAATCTCCATCCACTAGTGATAATACTCTGCTTTAGAGATTCGGTTGTCAGTTACTCAACCAACAAATATATGTTAAGGGTCCACTGGCGTCAGGCTCTACTGATGAATAACGAATAAATAATGAATGACTGGTTGGTTAATGAATAAGATATAGATCTTGTCCTCAAGGGACTCAGATTATGGAATGAGAGAGAAAGACAATTTGTAAGCAAATTAATAAAAACTATCATTCGGAGCTGAAAAGCTGTGTTTGCTGGGGGCATTTGTTCTTGTGCTGAGCCTGGGCACCTTCTGAGCCCCTAGTGCCCAAATGGAGATGATCAAGAGGGTCTGGTCTCCCCAAGGCCACAGCCTGTGCCTGGGGCTCTGTCTCTACCACAACTCTAGTAAAGCATCATGTCATCAAAGTGAGATAGAGTCTTCATGGTTAAATGTATGACACAGTCTTACATGTTCCCCCTGAGGAAACAATGACCACATGTTGCTTTGTTTTTGTTCCAGGAATCTTGGGAAATCAGGACTCAGAGTTTCTTGCTTGGGTCTTGGTAAGTACTCATGGTATCATGTAGTGTGGGCTGGGAGTGGAAGACTGGGGTAGATACTAGAAAGTGATTGGAGTACAAATCAGGACCCCATCTAAGGTGAGAAGGGACTGTGTGACCAGCCTTGTCCCATTCCTCCTTCTGATCCTTTCCTGCCCAACACAGCCCTCTGTCTCTCAGACCCAAGAAGCCATGGTGTCCATGATGCCTTATGGGGGCCCTGTCCAACAGAAAGAAATCTGATACTAATGCTCACCCTAGAAGAAGACTCAAGTGTTACTTCCAATTAGCAAATGGGAAGGACCTCATAGTGTTTATGTGCTCAACTTACCTGCAGCTTATCTGAACTTTTTCTATCCTTATTTTCTTTTTGCCTAGTTTCTTCATAGATTTTTCTGTATTGTTATTTATTTTAGATTTTAGATACTTTTATAATCTATCTTAAATGCTGTGAGGTCAAAGTGATTTACATGTGAAAGCTCAGAGGAAGATTTCTTGATTCCTATTGAATGGAAGTGTGGAGACCAGGGAAGGGATGATAATGAATAAATAAAAGTGGCAACTAATTCTGCCTCCTTTCACTGTATTTCAAAGATATTAAGGTGATGGGGGCCTGAGTTTTTCTGATTCTTTCTGATGATCTGATTTGGAACCTAAGGGTGGACTTTGTTCACTATAAGTCTAAGGGAACTTGACATTTGCTTAATTTATAGCTCAGATCTTGTTACCTTTCACTTCTATTTGAAAGGAGACTCGCTATCAGGGATCACCTAACCTTAGTTTTATGAGAATGTGCTTAATCGTAAATAATTATTCACTATCCATTATTGAAAGAAACTCCCTATAAATACAAATTATGAAATATGATAATTTAAGAAAATACAAATTAAGAACTATAATAAAAGATCATTGACCAATTATCTCATAGAGTCCGTTTCTAGGGCAGAAAATAATTTAGTCAAAAGTACATAGAAAAGTCCACCAAAGGCCCTTAAGACTAAAAAATTGCAGGTGTCCATGAAGTGCTACATGTAAATGAATGTCTGGAGGACAGAGAGCAGTGTTTTAAAACCCCATGTGTGTGAGTGGCGGGGGGCGGGGGGCGCGGGGGGGGGCGGGAGCGGGGAGGTGAGCTTTGGAACAGATGATTCAGGAGCAGAAGTCCTGACTTGAGCTTTGAGCTTCTCTGAGAGTCTGAACACTTGTGATAAGGCACTGCGTGAAAAACAGGAGGAAACGAGGAAATTCAGGGGCTGACTGGCTTCATTCAGAACAGGTTAACAAAGCTTGACAGCTTGAATAAGCATTCTTTAAGAACTGCTCTGAGCTACCTCTGTAAGCCAGAGGAGACAAAAAAATTCAGAGAAAGGAAAAATGCACCTGCCTTAGATAATTAGTCAGGCTCTGCAGACCCCAGCTGTCCCATCCAGGGGAAGCCGGGTTTACTGCTGTGGACTTGGGATGTCAGCAGAATCGCAGTCCATGTTCAGCTGAGGCTTTGGAAATTAAGCATCATAGTTCCAAGTAATCACACAATTATATTGGAATACTCTAAGGCCATAGTTTAAGCTAACAATTCTGACTTTCTTCTCTATCAGAGGACAGGAAGGGAACTTCTAGCTCTGACAAGCTTTCTTTCGATGAACTAGGAGCATGTGCAAATGAGAGCAGGCAGGTAAAGTAACTCGAGGATGAACTGAAAATACATCTGAAGGAACAAACTCTGCCAGTAAGAGAAATGGGTAAAAAGAATTAAATGGCCAAACCCACCTGTGGGTTGCTGTGGCTGGCCTGGTTCATAAATACACTGATGGGAAGGAGTAAATCCACCAAAGAGTGACTGAAAATCACCCCAGTCTAGTGGGAGGTGGGATCATCTTCTTCGAGAGGAAGAATAGAATTATGTATTCATTCATTCATTCATCCATTCATTCATTCATTCATTCTGAGAAAACATGTAGGAAACCAGGCATTGTGCTGGTTATGGGAGATACCAAGATGAAAGCAGCAAGGCCCCTGCTTCAGATTGTTCCCAGTGTAGTAGGATCAGGCATGCAAACACAGACAGTGCATCTGACAATGCCATAGTGGAGAGTCTGGGATGAATTGAGCACAGGGAATTTAGGACAGCTGTTCAGGGAAGGTGCTTCAGAGCTGAGACTTGAAGGGAGTTATCAAGCTTAGAAAGAGGCAGAAAAAGAGGGCAAATAATTCAAGATAGAGGGAGCAATGCAAGCAAGTACCAGAGCAGGAGGTACCTGGGGAAACACTAGAATATTATGAGTGCACGGTGCTCAGGAACCTTAAGGCCTGGAAGGGAAGCTGGGCCTGATGGAGAGAGCCCTTGTTTGCCTTGCTAACGCATTCAGCTCTTGTCTTTCAAAAGTTCCTCCAAGTCCTAGTGCCCCAAGGTCTTGGAGGAACAGAGACAGACAAGGCTCCACCTCTCTCCACCCTCCTCCTTCCATTGCCACAGCCTCCATCAAAGTGGCTCCTTTTTAAAAATATAAACTAACTTTTTTAAATGTAAATTTTTAATGTAATAAATTATAAATTACCATTTTTAGATCAAAACTGAACAAAAAGTACAGAAAGTTCCCCTTCTCCCACATACACATAGCTTCCTCCACTATCAACATCCCACACCAGAGTGGTTGGTACATTGGTTACCATTTTACATTGACACATCATTAGCACCTAAAGATTGTAGTTTACATTAGTTATATGTATAACTCTTGGTGTTGTACTATGGGTTTGGTAAATGTATAGTGATATATCCACCATTATATTATCATAAAAATATTCGCTGCCCTAAAAACCCACTGTGCTCTGCCTATTAATCTCTCCCTTCCTCTTAAACTCCGGCAACCACTGATCCATTTACTGTCTTCATAGTTTTGCATTTTGCAGAATGTCTGATAGTTGGAATCGTACAGTAGGTGGCCTTTACATATTGGCTTCTTTCACTTAGTAATATGCATTTAAGTTTCCTCCATATCTTTTCATGGCTTAATAGCTCATTTCTTTTTAGTGCTTCACTTTCCATTTTGAACTGAGGCTTTGAAAATTAAGCATCATAGTTACAAGTAATCACACAATGATATTAAAGGTGGACCAGAGATATTAAAGGTGATATTAAAGGTGGTGATATTAAAGGTGGACCAGAGATGATTATTCAGGAGGAAGGATAAATAGAACCTGGTGACCTCAGGATGTAGAATGAGGAGTCTCCCTGAGCAGGGAAGGATGCTTGGGTTCCTGGATTGGGCATGTGGTGGATGAGCTGAAACCTCAGGTGCAAGGCCAGGAGGAGGCAGTGAGAGGAGGGAGGATTCAGTGAAGTGGGAGCATTGCTGGAGAGTGGTGACCAGAGAGCCTGTGACCTGCCCCAGATACCCAGAGAGAACTGGGAATAAAGACCTGGGAACTTCTAACAGTGATGAACCCAAGGATGTCCTTAAGGCCACCTGCATATTCAGAGGGTTGAGATATTTGCTCAGGTTTAGGACACCTGCCTGTGGAGTTTGCCACATGGCATGCTCTCTGAGAGCAGAGAGGGCCTCTGCATTTTCTCCACTCCTATTGTACCTTTAGCAGATCACAGTATCAGGCAAGTAGTAGGTGCTCAAAAATATTTATTGAATGAAATCTGCATAGATGGATCAATTGCTACAGAGTGACAAAAAGTGCACTGGGTAATAGCGAAGATCCAGCAGAGGTCAGAAAACATGAACTGCTGAGGTCCAGCCAACCCAGTTCTTTGGTTTTCTTCAGCAGCACTTCAATGCAGAAACAGAGAAGGCCTCGTGAAGGGAGGTGGGGAGAGGAGATAGGGGTCAGCCCAGCAATGAGAATTGCCCCCAAAGCGGGTCATAGACCAAGAGACTATCATTCCATGGAGTCCAGGCTGGGTCAGCTCAGAGCCTTCTCAGCAGGGCTCTCACTCCTGTCATTACGAAGAGGCATCTGCCTACATTCTGAGTTGCTCCACATAGTCTCACATGAAGAGAAGGAGGCCCATCTGATTCATGCCATGGGAGGTGACACACCACTGTGGGCAGCTACTCCTATAGGTGCTTGAAAGGGGCTGAATTTGCCCTGCACCACTCACTCTCAGATGTGTGTGCTTCCCTCCAGATAAAATGCTCACAAGAAAAAGGTCATGTGATGATTAATTTTATGTATCAACTTGACTGGTCCATGGTGTGCCTGGATATTTGATCAAATGTTATTCTAGGTGTGTCCTGAGGGTGTTTTGGGATGAGATTAATATTTGGGTGAGTGGATTGAGTAAAGTAGCCCTCCCCAGAGTGAGTGGGTGGTCCTCCTTCAATCAGTGGAAGGCACGAATGCCTAGTACAAAAAGGGGGACCCTTCCTCCAAAAAGAGGGGACTCCACCTGCATGACTGCTTTGAGCTGTAATGTCAGACTTGTCTGGCTTTTGGAATTGAACTGAAATGCTCTCTCTTATCAGGCCTTGAGCCTACTTGCTTTTGGACTAGAATTTATACCATCAGCTCTGCATGGACTGAATCTACTACAGCTTACAGATGGCAATCTTGGGACTTCTCAACCTTCATAACCATCTTAGCCAATTTCTTATAATAAATCTCTTTGTCTATGTACATGCATATTTAAATATCATATACATTTATATAAATACATTTGTATGTTTTATAATATACTAGAGGCCCGGTGCACAAAATTTGTGCAGGGGGAGGGAGGGGAGGTCCCTCAGCCCGACCTGCACCCTCTCCAATCCGGGAGTCCTCAGGGAATGTCCTACTGACAGCTTAGGCCCGCTCCCTGTGGTTCTCTGCTCTCTGCAGGGCCTACCTGCTCCACACCATGGCGACTGGCAAGCAGGCCCTGCTGCGTGCTGCCTGCGGGCCCAGCAATGGGCAAGCAGGTCCTGCTAGGCGCTGCCTGTGGACCGCGCTTGCCTGCTCGGGAGTCCCCATGGTGACCCGCCAGCAGGCCCTGCTGGGCACTTGCTTGCTCC